GCCTTGTCTCCACTGAGGTCTCCCCAGCCCTGGGCAGACCTTTATAGGCTCCTGGGCCCAGCGTGCCCTGCCAGGCCCAGCACCTCCCCTGCCATGGGGGCACCGGGGCCTTGGAGGCCCTGTGGAGCTGCCTGTGTTCTCCAGCCCATGGTCACCTCAGCAGGCTCAGGCACATTTCATACACACGCGTCTTTACTAGCCGTACAGAAACCTTAATTTTTATAAACTGAAGAATTAGCTTTAAAAATGCGGAAGCTGCTTTCCTAGAACCGGCTGCCATGTCTTGGACTGGCCCAAGCTTTTTCCATCTAATTTCTGTTCCTCACATTATCATAATGCAAAGGGAAGAAGCTTTTAAAGAGTTGTTTTTGCAGTGGCATCGTGCGTGGTGTTTCTAAGCAGCATAGTGTGGCTGCGGTAGAGAACTGACTACGCTGCTTGTGCATCTTGAGTGGGAGGAGAGGAATAAACACCTTTGAGATGGAACCCATCCGTCTGCTGGCTGCTTGGGGATGTCTCACTGTGCCACAGGCTTAGAACCTCCTGCAGGTTTCTACCCTGCTTGTCTCCATCCCAAAATCATCTCTGGACTGCTTGCCACAGAATAATAAGCTGTCTTCAGCCACTTCTGAGCTGAAATTATGTGGGACTGGTTTAGCTGTGACTATGTGCCACTGTAACAGAAGTCATTTTAGAGCTTTTTTTTTCTGTAGCCTCATGCTATGACCTAGATTTCCAGAGGGGACTGGTTATTGTAGATGCTTCAGGTCTTATACCCTGTTCAGATAATGTGCTATGTTTGATTGATAACAGATGGATGGAGGGACCACTCAGTGAAATGTGCCATCTCTAAGCAACAGCGACCTTTCAGTGCCTTTCTGAGAGAGCTGAAAACTGGATGGCTTCTCCGGTGAGGGGGTGGAACTAGACAGGCATATTCATATTGTTTTGCATAAGTCATGATGGATTGAAGTTTAGCTGAAGGCTAATAAAATCAGCAGTTAGATAAAAGCTAAATTAAAATGTTAGTACTAAATAGAACAAGACAGAGCTCTTTGTGTGATGTTAGATCTTGGCATTGAGGCAGGTACCTTTTAATTGTAAAATAAAGTGGCTTTAACAGTATGATCATTATTTTACAGAAGCTTTTGAGTTCACTAGCTAAAATATCGGCATATGAGATCTCTGCAAAGCTTTTATCTAGTTTGAAATAAAGTAGGATTTTTTTCAGCAATTATATCACTGGTTGTAGAGTGTTACAGAGATGAAATATAATGGCTTTCAAATTACATTCTGGTGTAGAGCAATCAGCCATGACTCAAAGCTGCTTCTTTATTGGTGTCTGAAAAAATGTAATTGAGATGGCAACCAGAGTGGCTGCAAGCACATTGGATTAGCTCGTTAATGAGGAGGTGCCTAAATCTGAGTGACAACTGTGTGAGCAAGGGCACATAAACCGGGGTTGGCCATGGCATGGAGTGCCTCCACTGTGCTGGTAGACTGGAGAGACCTTCCACGTGTGTCTAAGGAGCATCCTCCTTGATTTCTGACAAAATGGTGTAACCTAGTGCTATGACTGCAACCTTACTGGTTCTTAGGCTGTCTCCATGGGAGAAAGGCTAGACCTGGTGCCTTTGTAGATGCTGTACTGATTGTTGTCTAGCACGACAGTCCCCTGTACTTTATGGATCACTATTCTGAGGAGAGGGAGCCTTGGGAGACCACGACCACAAAGCAAAGTTGAGTCTAGCAAAAGAAGATTTGCAAACAAGAGCTTGGTTCTGCACTTGCTTTCTCCGTTCTTCTTTAGCTCTGTACTAAATGAGGCCCGAAGGCAAACAGAATCCATACTGCTTAACATAATACAGTGACAAGTTACTTCATGTTTTCACTAAATAACTCCATGATAAATCTACAGAATAAAAATCTTGAACAAGTCCCTGGAGGGAGGAATACTTTGATGAGGGAACAGGGATTTTTAATAGGCATCATGCAAAGGTTTTCTTTTTTTCCTGCAGCAGTGATTAGACATTCTCCAAATGGCCTTTCCATGGGCCAGATGGGTTGTTTGGACTAATTGGCAACCGCCTGACTGTTTTCAGGACACCTGAGTCACTTCCCCCTTCCTCCATCCTTCTGTCACTGCTGCTGCTGGTCATGCGTTACCGCCACGCGCTGGGGCTGCTGGAGAGGAGGATGTGGCCTCTTGCCTTGCAGAGAGCATCACAGCCCTGAATCGCAGCCACCTGCACGGTCAAGTCTGGCATACCCCCAGGTACCACAACAAACCCCCTGAGCTCCAGAGGTTTCTTCTAAATACAGCTTATTTTTGTGACAGGTGGAAGAGCAGTGAGATATGTTTAGACTAGATGTAGCGTGGTGGGAGGACTGGGCACTTACAGCAGGCTCCAGGAGGGTGCTTACTGTTCAGGCACATGGGTGCTCTAGTAGAAGTGGCCCAAATGCCGGTGTCTGCCATCAATACCTGCCCTCACCGAGAGCTGCTGGGGGTCTGCACCGTGCCCAAGCGGGCTGCCACAGGCAGCTGTCTGCAGGCTGCACAGCTCCATGCTTAATGCCTGGTTTCATCCTTTAAGGGCTTTCAAGTATTGATTCCTGAGGAATCAGTGGGACCCCATAAATGCACCAACCCCCTCTCCTGTTAGGGAGCAGGAAACGTGGCATTGGGACATTGGCTTTGAGTAGGGCCCTTGCGTCCTGCACCTACCGCAAAATCAGCTGCTAAGGTTCAGTGATCCCAAGGCACCGTGGGCTGGTTCAGTCCTGCTGCGGCCTCCTGTGGTTAATGATTACAAGGACTAAACTTCCAGACCTGGAACATTGGATTCTTCCCCTGTTTTTGTTTTTGCCTCTGGCAATGCCAGTCTCCACTCCACTTTCCCTGCATCCAAGCCCGGGCTGCTTGCCTTGGCCAAGTGCTCAGCTGTGATGCTCTGGTGCAGCTTTGGTGATAAATACTGATGCCACAAAACTCTCCTTATCCATACTTCCTGCTATCTAAACTTGGGCTATGTTTCTCATCATGATTCACTAACCTCATTAGCTCCCCCGAGGCTAAAAGAGTCCTTGAACTGTTTAATATTCTTGGGTTTGTAAATGACACAATTAGCACTGATTTTTTTCTCTCACCTAGTAACAGCCTTGTTTCCAAATTGGAGAATAAGATTTTACAGGCAGCTTGAGAACTCAGAGACCTTCCTTTAGATTTGGGGATTGCCACGGAGAAAGGTCACCACAGTCTGTTGGCGATTTTATTAGTGTTCAGTAATTTTTAACAAAGGACCACGTAGTGAGAAGCGGGTGCCAGCTGTGCTGTGCCTGGCTCTGCTCGGTGCCTTCGCATCGGGGCAGTGTTTGGATGTGACTGACCCCTGCCCACGGGCAGCCTGGCAGCAGAGGTGCATGCTCCCTTCCCCGTTAGCTGTTGTTGCATTACAGAAATGCTCCTGGGCAAGTTTCTAAACCCATTTACATTCCCTGTGTGTTGTTCAGAACGACCATGATTCCTTCTAAAATCAATGGTGATTGCATGCTCTAGAAAATCCCTTACGAGCCACATCTGAGCATTAGACCTGCCTGCTGGTTTTACCAAGGAGGCAAGCTGCTTCAGCTGGGAGCCCTGCACACTGATCTTTGCTAACAGACATTACAGGCAGGGCTGCGGTGGCCCTACAGCGACTGACACCCTCCAAGCTCCATGGCCTGTTCTGGCTGCACTGCTGGTGCCTGCAGATGCAGACCCGTCCTTTTTGTGCAGCTCTTGGAGGCCAACAATAACCCCAGGCTTTCTGTAAGAAATGTTTCCTCAAGTGGAACTGCTGGAGATTGATAGTATTAACAGCTACATGGGGAAAGTCTCCTCGCCTGGGAATAAAGCAGATTATTTCAGACCCTGTCTCAGACCAGGACGTAGCAAGGCTGTTCATGAAAGTAGCTGGCACTGAGAAATGGAGCAGTTCATCTGCACCCGGGGCTTGAGCTAGCAGAGGGCTTTCTGCCCTGAAAGAGAAGGGAGCCTGATTGCACCTAGCAAATGAGGCATGAAACCTGGTCGGCACCGAGCAGCACACTAAGCAGCTCGGCATCCCTCACATTCTCATTCTGGTCTAGTTTGTAATCGAGCGCTGTTCCTGAATGCAAATGGAGCTCAGGTCTTCATTCTAGCTTAAATTCTGCTTGCTCATAGCTGGAGATGCACGACCAGCTTCCTACCTCTGCTGCAGCTACACAAAGGAAATGTTAATTTCTCGAGGTGGTGGCTAAGGGAAGCCACAAGGCACAGGGCTGGAGGACAGCACCCAAAACACATTTGGTGCATGATAGCACGTTAGAAGCCAGGAGATGGTCCCTCCCTGCAGCATTTGCCAGAAGCAGGCGTTAATCATGCAGATGTAGCTTCTCCAGCTTTTCTCAGGAGCAAACTAGATTCTTCCTAGGAACATCTCCGCTGCTGCCTCTGATCTCCCTCCCCAGGACTGACACATCTCACTGGTGGTGTTGCCACATGAGTAAGCGTGTCAGGCTCACGGGAAGGAGTGGGAAGGAACTGAGTGTACAACGGGACTTCAGAGGGAGCAGCAGAAATCCTCAGTTGCTCCCTGCTCGTGGATTTGTATGAGCAGCATCTCACGGCCTGGCCCTGCTGGCCTGGCGCTGTGGAACTGTCACTAGCAGGGGACAAGCTGTAACCAGAACAACTGAATGAAATAGAAAATGAGCATCCTTGTTTTGCATACGAGAAACCGATGCACAAAATATTGTTACCTTCCCACGGCCACGTAGGGGGTCTGAGGCTTTTTCATGGAGCTCTGAGCCTGCTGCAGAGTCCTGGCTCCTGCTCGTCTTCTGAGCTTTGTTGTTGTTTGAGCATTTATGAACAAGGTTTAAAAAAAAAAAAAATCAGTATCTTAACTTCTCTTGTCCTACATACCAGACTGGAGGGCCACTAGGATACAAAATAAGCATGTACAAGAACAGGAGACCTTCTCTGCCAGAGCCTCAGCAGTGATTTTTATAGGGAAATACAGAATTACTTGAAGGTGCCTCAGTGCATAATTGCAGTGTCACTTGTAAGGGTTATTTCAGGTGAATTTGACTTGCTTCTGATGAACCAAGCACTCCTTATCTGCAATAATTTAGCAGTTTTGGGGTAGGAGCTATGCTCACGTACACTCAGTGCCTGGTACATGAGATTCCTTTGGGGTAGGGTCCCAAGACACCACTTCAATTACTGAAACTAATTAATAACCCAAGCTTAAGAGCAGGGAAAGAGCATTAGCTCCAAGCAGCTGCTGAAGGACAGCGTGGCACAATGACAGCTGTACCTGTGCACTGCACACAGCAGGTGCTCCCCCCAGGGTGAAGGCGCATCGTGGGGCTCAGCATGGCCAGGAAGGCAGCAGCCAGACTGCCCTCCTGGTTTTCAGTGCAAATTCACTGCCAGAGCTCCATGGCTGGCTCCCCCAGCTCTCCCTCCAGCCTCCCCTTGCAGATGGGCAGCACTGTGGACAGAAAAGGTAATTTGTTTTTTCCTGTAAGTGAATAGAGGTAGGGAGGGAAAAAAAGACCCAGCTTCCCTGTGAAGTGGGGCTGGCCCACGCTGGCAAGAGAAGGGCAGAATGGCTGTGTGTGGGAAAGCTCCCTATTAAACCTGGGGACAGCGGGGGGCTCCTGGAAGTGACAGTCACACAATGGTGCTTTTGTCAGAGAGGCACCAAAGGCCAGATGATGTCACCTTGCACTGGGCTGTGAGGCTGCTTGTGTGCCTCAGGATGGAGCTCAGCAGCATCACATATCTTTTTAACAGGGAGGAGGCAATGAAAAGGCTGCTTTTATCCCACCCTTTTTAAAAAGCAGACGAAGCAGCTTTGTCCCAGAACAGCTTGGCTGTTGTCAGAGGTAGAAACCCCCAGCTAAAGAGCTGCTGCCTGTACCCCACCAGCTCCCATCACCTGCAGAAGCTGTAGCCTCCCCCATGGGTGCAACTTGGGGCGCTCTTTGCTCCACATCCTTTCGGCTGGCTCAGAGGAACATCTAAACTCTGGCCACATTCTTCGCTTTGCCGCCTCACCTTTTCTTGGAAAGACCAGGCTGGCCTCAAAGGCTTCCTGGAGCTCCAGCAGCTGGAGACCTCCCATGATAAGGTCTGTCAAAGACGGGGAGAAGGGGGATGAAGAAGAAGACCTAAACTAACATGCCCATCTGAATGCTTTGCAGAACCTCAGGAAGCAGGATTCCCTCAGAACTCAAAGGAGGTGTGCATGAAAGGCAGTGCTTTTCTTTGCCTTGCCCTTGCCTGACCAACTTCAGCCACAGGCAGCATCCTCACAGCCCCTGTAGCACTTCTCTCCAAGCTCATCTGCCCTATAGGTAGGCACTCAGAGAGCATGGCTGAAGACACCCTGCAGCACAGCCTCTTGCCAGCTTGGGACAGGGTCCTGAGCTGCTCTGGTGGTTACTGGGTGGGCTGTGGGGACTGCAGCCCCACAGGGGATCGCAGGTCTGCGCATGCTGTGCAGTGGGGATGTGTAATCCTTACCATGAGTGGGTGCTGGAAACTCCTGAGTTCAGCTCTGCTGTGCCTCGACTTGCCCAGTGAGCTCCTGGTGAGTCGTCCTGCCTCAGTTTCCCATGCTGGGGCTCTGGTTAACATCTGCCCATCCCAGGAAGAAGCTACAGTTCAAGATTCTTGTCTGCAAAAGGACCTGAGTGGAAAGCTGTGTTCAGGAGGAGGTCTTCAGATTAGTCAGCTCACAGTATGGCTGCTTTTGAATATTTATGAAAGCAGAAAACTGTCAGACATGTTTCACTGAGCTGTACAGCTCCTTACCTGAAAGGAAGTGTTTTCTTAAAAAGCAGTGCTTGCTTGCCTCAGTTTTTCCACAGAACCTCACTCTACCAGGGCGAGGGACAAAAGTCTGGGATGACAAAAGCAGGGTGTCTGCGAGGGGATGCAGCACAAGCTCCTTGAGCTGAAACCACCACACAGCATTGCTTTTTAATATAACTAGAGCCTGAAAACTGGTGTGGAGAGGCAGCATCCAGAGAGCCTGGATCCACAGACTGCTCTCTGCAGCTTCCAAAACATCAGTGGGGGGGCAGTACATGGTACAGCTCCCTACAAGTGATTGTTTGCTAGATGCTAAGCAGTTTTGTGGCTTCACTCTCATAAACCACCCCAGAGACTGACTACAAAGGCAAACCAGGAGTTTGCATGAGGCAGCCAGGCCAGGCATGCCCAGCATTCCTGGTGGTGCCTCGTCCATAGACCTTGGTCCCCTAAAGAGCATCCTAAAAAGAGACAGAAAATGCCTGTGTCTCTGCAGAGAGCTGAAACGTGTCCAGAGCCAAAATTAAGAGGAGCTAGGCCAAGCTCACATGCCCCTTGCCATTTACAGGCAACTTTCAAGAAGTTTCTTTTCGAGCTGCAGCTGTGAACTAAGCCAGGACCAGGGCTGAAGTGCCCTCCTGCTGCCGGAGGGCTTGGCAGGTACACGGCCACAAAGACCTGCAGATTAGACCCATTCATACAGTGTTGACAGTGCCAAATTAGAAAGTCCAGAAATGCAAATATTATCCTAGTTTAACTCAGGTTTTTATTTCATCCCTCTCCCAAACTGCAGCACAGCTTGGGTCTGGTTGCAGCAAGAGCCTGGCCACTACTGAGGGGTTGGGACAACAGGGACCTCACCATCCTGGGCCCATCCCATAATACCTGAGCGAGGTGAGCAGAGCAAGCCTGGTGCAGTAACCAGGTTCGGTCAGGAGTCCAGATCATCAGGCAGGTCCATGGTGGCGAGACTGGAGAGAGGCTAAGCTGGGACATCAGCGCACAGGTCAGGATCAGCAGGTCCATAGCAGTCATGGCTGGGCTCAGCTGGAGACCAACACTCCCACACCACAGCTCAGGAAAGGTTTCAAAGGCCCAGAGCTGAGCTTAAATGCAGCCCATGTGCCCGGTGTATGGGGGTGTGGTGGAGGCCCCAGGTGAAGCTGGTCAGGACCGTTAAGGCCTGCGGAGGCCTCAGGGCCCTGGCACTGGGTGCGTGTTATCCAGGTGGAAACCAGCAGCTTAATTCTGTCAAAATGAGAATAAGCCGAGGTGTCAGCACAGCCCACCAAGAGAGAGCCCCAGTATGGAGCTGGGCTTGGTGGGAGGCTGTGGAGGACAAGGGCTGTCCTCCAGCTAGATCCAAGTGCTGGGGTTCAATTATCCAGGAGTCCGTCCCCTGGCCCTGTACGAGCCTGCCAGTACTTCTGCTTCCACTTCCCATCTCAAATCGCCTTTGCCTGCCTGCTGGACCCAGCCAGTGCCAGGAAGCAGATGGTTTCGCATACCTTGGCTGAGGTGTGTTGAAGAAATGTTGAGCTCTAGACTGGATTTTCCCATTAATACTTTGAACACAGATGTTTGACAAGTTGTCTCCAGCTCCAGCACCTGAGCAGAACCACCACACATGGGGCACTGGCTCCGGGCAGCCCGCAGCAGCCCCATAAATCAGTCCTTGGGGCCTGGCCTGGCCCCTGGGTTCCTCACCAGCACTGATCAAAGCCCAGGCTGCAAGTTTCTGCAGCTCAGGCACCGCGGGGTGGTTGCACACAGACCGACCACGGGCTGGAGGTGTAGGTGGAGACCTGGGGAAGGAGCGCAGACACCATCCTTCCCCCCGGCACCACTGCACAAGCCCCAGTCCTCCCCGGTTCCCCAGGCAGCACAGCCGGAGCGCCGACGAGGGCAATGTAAATCCTGTGTGACAGCGGTGACCCCGCGTCCTCGCTGGGGCTGCTCCTGGCACCCCCCAGGTCACCACTCAGGGACGGCCTGCAAAGAGCTTGCTGGGGGGGAAAGAGCTAATTTAAATGAGAAAAAAAAAAAAGACTTTGGGTCCGTTGCCAGCATTCTCCTTGCCTATTGTACTCCCTGCTCGGGTTCTGCTTTCCCCTGGGCAGCTTTATGTTTCCAAGGCCCATAAATTCTCGTTTTTCCACTGGGCAGGAGGTGTGCTCCTGGGCTGCGCCGCTTCCTGCCGGGTTTTGTGTCCGTGTTGCCCAGTTACTGCGGCGCAGCCCCGGGCTATGCCCAGCCCCATTCAGACCAGCTGTGGCCCCCAGCCCCGGCAGTGTGGAGGATTCGGGGCAGGAGCTTGCTTTCCAGGAGGAGAAAAGGGAAGGCTGAGAGCCCGTGGGGCTCAGGGGTGACCTGAGAGGGTGTCCTCCCCGAGGGGCTGTCACCTGGAGGTGTGCTGCAGCTGGGGACGTGGTGACTTGCCAGGGGATTTGAGGCTGGGCTGCAGCCGGTGGCCCGAAGGCTGTGGGAACTGACAGTGCTCGTTTGTCAGATCCAAAGCGCCCGTAATCTGCCCTTGCTGAGAGCAAAGCCCACGGGGTTTCTGTGGCATCATTTCCAAGCAGCAGCCCTCCAAGCATCAATAATTCAAACAGAAGTTGAGATAACACCGTGTCCCCATTCCGTGCAGGCCGGTTTGGTCGGAAATTAATAACATTGCTGAAGCAGAAATACTCGGATTCTCTGCGGTACTGATTCCTAGCACGGCACCCAGGCGGCACCAGAGGTTGCAGACTGTGGCCGGGGGGGAGAGGCATCACCCCCGGGTCCTGCCAGGGGCCTGTTGCTGTGCGGGGCCACCAGGAGCCTTCTGTAGGGCTGAGCAGATCTCTTCCCCTCATTGCCGTGCCTCCGGTGTCCGTCTGCTGGGGCCGGGGCTGCGCCTCACCGCAGGGTTCTTTAGGGACACAGAAATCCCAAGGCTGCTGTGCCAGGAGTGGGGCTGGACAGCTGCAGGAAGAAACAGGCCATCCCCAAGCCTGTGGGATCATCCTTTGGGCATGCAAACAAAGCACTTACCCACTTAACTCCTGTCTCAGGAACCCAGAGAGCCTCTGCCTCGCCTTCCCGTACTCACCTCTGCAAACCACGGCACCACGGTGCTGGCTCCCGCAGCTCCCCGGGGTCCGGCCCTCCTGCTCTTTGTTAATGAGGAAGGTGCATTTTTTGGAAAGAGAGCCTGCCTCCAGGACTTGCAAACACTCTATTTTATGACATTTTTCATTTGCATAATGAAGGCCCTGATACCTTCGGTAATTAATCACATTAAGAATTGCTTCCTTGAATAACTCTATTCATGCAAGTTGTTCTTAGTGCTGGAAACTGCGTATGATTTCAGATGTGCATTAGCCCATCTCTTTCATCAGCAGATGGAAGCGGGTAACTGCATGTGTAATTTATATCTGCTTGGGTGGAATTATCAGATGAAATATGCATTACACAGCGCCATTAACATTTCTAGTCATACAGTCTTTAGCTCTTGGGTAAGTGAATATTACATGCCAACAGTGTGGGGGACCGTGTGAGAGGCAAGGACCTGAACACAGGGATTTGAAAACAAAAATGGAAAGTATTCCAGGTCAGACGCATCAGAAATAGAATTAATGAAGCTGCTAAATTAGGTGAGATGCAGTGCCCTTTTTTGACCTGCATTTTTTATAAAACGTCCCCTCCTCTCTCCATAGCCAATAAAACCGCCAGGTTTGCCCACTGGATCTCCGCTTAGGGGCAGCTCCCGACTCCTTAACATCCAGAAAGATCCCCCAGAGGATAACACAAGCAGCAGGAGAACAACTTGAATCTCAGAGGGCAGATTCGGGGGTCTCACCCTGCAAGAAGGATTTCTGGGCCCTGTGGATCTGAATCATTTTCAGGTCAAGCTCTGACCCTCTGGCTCGACACCAGCCCACAGGAGGAACAAGGGCAGGGCTGGGCAGCTCACACCAGCCCTGTGGCTCCCTTCGGGGCTGATGTCCCCTGTGGGTCCCCTCCAGAGCCCGTCCCGAGGTCAGGCTATGTGGGACCTGGGGCTGAAGGAGGCTCCCCCTTCACTTCTGGCAGTGCCCGGCCGTGCACTGCCACTGCTCCCGCTCGATTGCTTTCTGGCCAAGACAGAAAGAAAAAAAATATCTCTGCAAAACCCAGACTTGGACTTTGCTTAAAGCCTCTGAGTAAAGAGCCTTGTTTGAATGTAATTGCACCCCTGTTGCTACAAGGGGAAAATACACTGCATTGCTCTCTCTTTCTTGGAAAGCTCGGCTAGTATTTTCCCAGCCATTTGTGTACAAAGAAAGATAAATAGCTCTTTAGCGGGCAGAACAATCTCTCCCGTTTTTTTGTTGTTGTTTTTTTTTTCTTTTTTCTTTTTGACATCCATGCCAGCACATGAGGCGCAGCAGCTTGGCGGAGCTGAGAGCAGGGAGGGTGCAGCCTGGCGGAGCTGGGAGCAGCGGCAGGGCCAGGGCTGAGGCTGGGGCGTGTGCTGTCCGTGGGCTCCTGCAGGCTGCCCAAAATCCAAGGGATGCTCCTGCCACCTTGCCCATCGCTTTCACTCCTCCCTACATATACATGTTCATCAGATTTAGCTCCTGCTTCACACGCTGTGGTGCTATAGATAGATTTTTAAAGAGCTCGTCTCAGAGTAATAATTCATGGGGAGATCAAAGGGCTATGGTTTAATCAGGGGTCTGTCTGATACCAGCAACCTTGCAGAGTGCTAAGAATTCAATGAGCATCATCAAAGGGCTGATAAGCACGAAAAGCCATCCAATTTTCTGCCCGTAAGGCTGGTGGGGCTTACAGGGGTGCTGAGGAGCTGGACAGACTCCTGGCTGCCGTGCCGACAGAGCCACGCACACTCCAACATCAGGCTCTGATGGAGCTGCCTGGACTCCGCTAATGACTGAGCTGCTGCCTGCAGCTCCACTGACTCTACGAAGAGATAAGATTGCTAATTACATGTCTAATTACACAGCATAGGTAAGCTTCAGTCTGCGCTCTGCCTCTTGGCATCCCCTTGTCCTCCACGTACCAGAATCACGTCCTCTGCGGGGATTCTCTGGAGCAAGGGGTCAGAAGCCATCCCAGGGGGCTCACTGCCGCCGTGTACGTGGCCCCCCAGCCCTGCCACAGCACGGTTATGTTTTTAGGCTCTCAAAACTGGGGGATTTGGTATTTGTTCTCTCTGCTTTCCAGATACGGTAACTGTACATCGAGTTAATCCAAAGGATTTCTTTTTTAATAGATGCATGGGGTCTGTCTCTATGGCTGCGCTGACAGTAATGGCTCTGTGCTGGTTTAGATAAACCGAGGGTCTGGCCCAGGAAAGCTGGGTTTCAGATAGGGACTGCCAAAAAAATACGGGGTATCAAAATGCTGTGTTTGGAAGCCAAAAACGGTGCCTAAAATGGGGCCGGCTGGGATCAGCATGGTTAACACAGGTCTCCAGAGTGGAAAAGGCTCTGCCGTGCTTCTTAGCTATCATCACAAGCAACATTTAAAAGCCAGCAGTTTAATTTTTAACACAAATGGAGGCGAGTTCAAACTGCAGACACCTGCAGATAAGGAGTTGGTTTTTTCTCTAGAGATACGGAGCGCAGCGAGGTTAATGTGATTATGTCAATGACTGAGATATAATTGCGTTACCGCCACCCATCTGGCCCTCCCTGCGACTCGTAAGTGATTTTATATTCCCCGTGCACTGCAGCGCTGAGGCACAAGGGCACTGGAGATGCCAGAAATCGCTGCTTGGTGTCTGCTGCAAGAGCCCCCACCGGCAAGCCGCTGGTGCAGGTCCCGCTGGACTATGCAAGGTGTTTCAAATGTCAGGAAATTCCGTGTGGGTCTGGATTAACAGCCCCTGGGCTGCTGGTCTCTGGTGCAGCCACAAAGCCTCTCCTTGTCACCAGCACCCTCACCCCTGGGAGCCCTGCGCTGGGCTCCCCCAGGACCCTGCTCAATGAGCTGGGTTCCCACCACAGGCTGGGACAACGTGGCTCCTGGTGTGGTCCAGAGGGTGGAGCACTGCTTGTCCCCTCCTGAGGGGCACTCCTGACATGGGCAGGATCCCACTGGCACCCCAGCTCCAGCACCGGGTCCCTCCAACAAGGATTTTCTCAGCAGGATAAGCAAGGACCGCTTCCCTCGGCAGCTGGGATTAAAAACAAAAACATTTTCATGTGAGGCACTGACTAATGCTGCGCTGTCCGGTCCTACCTCTCTCCTAACCCGCCTTTGTCTTCCCATCAGTATGAATTCAAAGCCAAGAACATTAAGAAGAAGAAGGTGAGCATCATCGTGTCCGTGGACGGCGTGAAGGTGATCCTACGCAAGAAGCAGAAGGTGAGGCTTCTCCAGCCCAGCGTGCCCGGGACGTTGGCCCTGCCCATGGCAGAGCATTGCTGCTGCTCAGAGCAGTCAGACTTCTAACCAGAAGGGGCCTTTTCTCAAGAAACACCCGGAATTTTCACAAGGAAAAAAAAAACCTCAAATTTTCACCAAAAAAAAAAAGATAGCAAAATCTCACTGAAAAAAAGAGTGGGAAAATTACACTGTGGGAGGAGGATTTTTTCTATCAGAAAATGTAAAGCTTTCAGGAAATGCAGTTTCTTTTCCTTGTTAATACCAGCAGGCTTCCTCCTCACTGCCTCGGCTGCGCACCAGTCCCTGGGCTCACCCCCAAGGAGAGCCAGCGGCTGCCCCTGATGTCCCAAACCCCCTCTCAGAGCCTTGTTCCCCAAATGCATTAATCTTCTGCATATTTGATGATATAAATTAATATATAAATTAATCTTCGGAACAGTTTTCAGCCCTGGAGGCTATGATCAGATGACCAGATATGATAAATGATCAAAGAAATCTATTTTAATCCAAGATACCGACCAAGCAGCCACTGCTGACACGGTCACAGAATCATTTCAGCTGGAAAAGACCCCTAAAAAAATCCAGTCCAACCTTTAACCTGGCACTGCCCAGTCCTCCACCATTAAACCAGTCCAGCTGTAGCCCCGACCTTGGCTTGGGGACAAACGTGCCTTTTTCCTGGGTCCTGCCCGTCGGCGTGGTGGAGTTTCAGTGCCTGTAATCCACTCTAACCGTGTTTCTGCCCCACGTACAGCGCAAGGAGTGGACCTGGGACGAGAGCAAGATGGTGGTGATGCACGATCCTGTGTACAGGTACGTGCCGGGGGTGCACCCCGGGTGCTTTTATCCAGCCCTGGGGGGTGCAGAGCTGTCCTCCTGCTTGTTCCACCTCCGGGAGGGCTGGCGCTCAAAGCTCCATGAAAAATTAACGAGGCCGCAAAATTACTGCTGGCGGAGAACCTATTTCATTCATTTTTGGGATTGAGACGGACAGACTGAGCTGGCTTTGAAGCCTGCTCTGCGTTGAGCAGGGGTCAGACGGTGACCCGCAGAGATCCCTTCAGCCTGAATTGCCCTCTGATGCTAACGCAGAGGACAGGCTTCCTGTGGTCCCCAGCAGAGCACGGCTCGCTGTGAGCCTGCTGAAGAAGGCCCTGATGTTGGGGCATGAGCTCTTAGAGGGAATTAACCCATACGGGATGCACTGATTGCCATAGCACCTGCTCTGGGATCTCCAGGTAGCTGGAGAAGAGAAGTCCCATCCAAAGGCATCTCCTGCTGCTCTGTGCCTGGTGGTGACAGCACTCAGAAAATCCTGCAGGGCTCTGGCCGGGGGCTTTTCCAACAGGTCTGTCTGGGGAAAGAGCTTCTTCTGCGTGTTAATTCCCCCTGTGCCTTCCCCCAGAATCTTCTACGTGTCTCACGACTCGCAAGACCTGAAAATATTCAGCTACATCGCGAGGGACGGCGCCAACAACTCCTTCAGGTGCAACGTCTTCAAATCCAAGAAGAAGGTAGGACGCTGCATCCACCTCGGGCCCCGCACCCTGCCTGCAGTGGGGGTGTTTGGGGCTGTGGGACCCTCCCCAGGGCTGACCGGGGGGGGTTCTCTGCCCCGCAGAGCCAGGCCATGCGCGTGGTGCGCACGGTGGGCCAGGCCTTCGAGGTGTGCCACAAGCTGAGCCTGCAGCACGCCCTGCAGAACGCCGACGGGCAGGCAGGACGGGGCCAGCGACAAGTCGGCGGAGGAGCAGCCACCAGAAGGTGACGTCCAGCTCCCCGCGGGGTCTGGGAGGCAGGGATGTGTTGGGGTGGGGGGCTGCACGGTGACCTGTCCTCCTGGGCCAGCTCTGCTGACAGTGAGAGCTTCGTGGGCCGTCTGTCTGGGGCCGCGGGGGATGCGGCCTTCCCACCTCCCCGTCCTGGGAACACGGAGGCTGAGCCTCCTTTTCCAGCAGGGTGGTGGCCTGGCACGCTGCCCTACTCCTGCCCCACTGCAGCACACGGAGACTTGAAGCAAGGCTTGGCTGCTTGGCTCTTCTTCCTGGGCTGTTGTGGGGCTGGCGGCTGTGCCTGGTTCATTTTATCCATCTCGTTTGAAGTGCACCAGATAAAGGGCTCCAAGATCACAGATGTGGACGAGGTTGGCCTCGACTCTGATGGCATCTGCGTGTCTGAGAGGGGACCAGGAGAGCTGCCGGCTGCCAGGGGTGAGCTCAGCGTGCTGAAAGCTGGACAAGGCACCAAGGACAAGAACTGCCAGGTAAGAATCCTTGGGACCAGGCTGGGGATGCTGCCCCCACTGCAGAGCCCACCTTCCCGGTGCCCTGGGGCAGCTCAGCAGGCCCCTGTGCCCCATGCCATGAAGCAGCTGGGGCTCGCAGGGCACACGGAGCCAGCCAGGGCTGTCACCACCATGGGTGAAACACCCCAGTCTCTGTGGGCAGACCCGTGGCAGGGCTGCCTGCTCAGCATCCAGCTGGTTTGTAGTTGGCTGTGTCATTTCCCCAACCCATGAGAGTCCCCTGGTGCAGGGCAGAGCTGGTTTCTGGGCCCCAGGGCTGGTCTGCAGCAGTCACTTGCCTGTGCTCAGGCAGCGACCCCAGTTCCCTGCTTCCCCTGGGCAGCAGCATCCCTCAGGGCAGCCCAGCCTCTGCAGCAAAGACACCGAGGGTGCGCTCGGTGCTGGCCGTGGGCAGCCCGTAATGAATAGCTGCTCTGCAGAGCCGTTCAGCGAGCGTTTCCTGGCTGCCTTAATGGCACCATTTCATTTCACACAATTGTATCGCTTGCAGAGCCTGGCTGCAAACAGCTGCGATGAAATGCATTCAATTGGATTTATTTCCTTGGCTCAGAAGGCTGGGCTTTGCTCTGCTTTACCGTTTAGATGTGGATCTGCCCGCTGCTGCCCTGGTGCCCCCGCGCTGCCCAGGAGCAGGGACGTGGCCGTGGGGTCACCGTCCCTGCACTGCGCTGCCCGGGGCTCTGCAGGGCCCACGCTGGGATGCTGGGGGTGCAGGGGGTGCACGGCACAGCGTGGGCACGAGGGGGGTTTCTGGCAGCGAGCAGTGCCCAGCCTGGGTCTGGGTGGCTGCGGGGGCAGCTCTGCCTCCCCAGGCAGTGCCGCAGGGCCCCAGCAAACTCCTGGGGAGCTTCTGTCTGGCAGCCCAAGCTAACCAACCCCCCTCACCTGGGACTTTCTCCCCACTCCAGGACCCCGAGAGCTGCTCCCTGTGCCCGGCCGGCTCCCAGCAGCTGCTCAGCCCTGGCAGCCCCTGCTCCTCAGCCTCCATCACGCCGCTGGCCTCCCAGCACTGCCTCCAGCTCCTCCAGCAGCAGCTCCTCCAGCAGCAGCAGCAGACGCAGGTGGCGGTGGCTCAGGTACGCGTCCTGCATTCCCCAGGGACACCCCCTGCCCCTCTCCTCGCCCTGCGGGACCGGGACGGGACCGAGCGGCCGCTCCCCGCCCGTGGGGGCCCCGAGGACCGGCAGAGGGCGCCCAAGCCCCGCGCAGAGCCGGGGGGTGCCCGGGGAGCTGCTGGGGGGGGAGCCGGGGATGCTCCGGGGAGAGCCCTGGGGGAGACGGGGATGCTCCGGAGGTACCCGGGGATGCTCCGGGGGTGCCCGGGGATGCTCCGGCCCCGCAGCCCCGTCCCTTCCCGCAGGTGCAGCTGCTGAAGGACCAGCTGGCAGCGGAGACGGCGGCGCGCATCGAGGCGCAGGCACGGGTGCGGCAGCTGCTGCTGACCAACCGCGACCTGCTGCAGCACGTCTCGCTGCTGGTGCGGCAGCTGAAGGCGCTGGAGAGCCGGGCACAGCGCCGGCAGCCGGGTGAGAGGGCACGGGGACCGGGTGCTGCTTTGCTCCTTGGTCAATCCCAGCGCCTCACTCACCCCGGGGCTCTCTCCGTGTCTCCGCAGTTGACCGCTCGCTGCAGAACCTGTCCCTGGCGCAGTCGCTGTCCCTCAACCTGAAGAACCACTACAGCCTGGACATCGCCCTGCCCTCCACCTCCACGCCCGCCAGCGTCCTGGGCAGCCCCGTGGGCCCCCGCTCGCTGTCGGCTCTGGGCGCTGGGGATTCCTACCTCAACCTGCTGGGCCTGGAGAGGGGCGGCCCCCGCTTCGGCAGCAAGGAGGGGGACGAGGGGCTGACCACCGCGCTGGAGGGGCAGGAGGGGCTCAGCAGGCGCGTGGAGGGCTCCGAGGTCAGCGAGGTGGCTCTGCTCAACGGGAGCGGCCGGCAGAAGGCAGAGGATGTGGACAGAGGGGACGAAGACAGGTGGGGATCCGCTGCTTCTGCTCCCACCGGCCGGAGCGGGAGCACCGCGGTGCTTTTGTCACTAATCCAAAACACAGCAGCACACGAATTAGTGTGAAGAAATTAGCTTGATTCCAGCCAAAAGCAGTACGACAGCACAGCGCCTGCAGCAGGGTGCTCACAGCTGCCCCAGGGGATGGAGGGAGGGAGGGCAGTGCTCTTGGTCCTGTGGCTCGAGGGTCTGTGTGCTGGCTGAGACCAGGAGGGCAAAGCCGGGTGTGAAATCCACCATGTCCGCCCCTAGGGACAGGGCTGAGGGTCACTGTCTATGCTGCTCTTATCCTCCTGGAGCGAGGTGGTCAGCTGCCACATCACTGCAGCACCCCAGCTCCAACACACACAGCATCGGGTTGCACTGAATGCAAGAGGTGTCTGCCTTTTGGAGAGCCTGGGGCAGCCAGACTGAGCTATCCGCACAGGTAAGTAGCTACTTGCCCATCACCTCCTCTCTGCTCTCGCTTCCCAGGCGGCAGCAGCCCATTCCCAAGCTCAACCCGCCGCCACCCATCCTACGCAAGAGGTCCAGCAAGACCTCCCCGAGCCTGGAGGTGGAGGCCAAGCCCGAGAGCACTGCCCACGTCAGCCTTCCCAGCCCCAGCGTGTCCAGCCTCACCAACATCACTGCCAGCTCCCTCACCCTCTTGGACTCCGAGGCGAGGACTCCTGCTTGGAGCACTGCCTCCAGCTCAGAGCCCGTCCCCTCCAGGACCTTCCAACGTGTTCTCAGCAAGGACAGGGCTGGGGAGAACGGGCACACTGTCCCCACCAGCCGGCTGCCACGACCCCGCAGCCAGTGAGGTCCTGGGCAAGGACTTGGCTGTGCTGGTGAGCCCCACGGACAGCATAGTGCCCTTCTCTCCTGCGGACGACACCTGCCTACACATCAGCTTCTCAGAAGATGAGCTGCTGGAACCAGAGCTGGACGCTGCTGTGGGGCCCAGCAGAGTCCCCTCGTAGTTGGACCACGGCGTGTGGCAGCCTGGCTGGAGGCAGTCCCAGCGGTTCCATCCACACCGCTGCGCTGGGGTTGGGGGCCCTCGTCCCCCAGCTGGGCGGCAGATCCCTGCTCTGTCCCTGCCTGCTGCACCAGCTCACACTGCCCTCCCGCTGTCCCCTGTCCTTGTCTGTCTTTCCTGCCTCTGGTTGGGGTGCCGCGTGGGTCCCTGGATGCAGATGGCACTGACTGGGCTCACTCTGAGGCTGTTCCCAGCCAGCGGTCACCGCACGGTGCTCTGCTCGCTGTCACCCTGCCCATCCCACCCCAAACATCCCCGGAGCCCCTGGGCCAGGGCACAGGCAGGGCTGTAAATACTTGGACACGAGGCTCCTGCTGCTACCCCTGCCCATCAGAGCCCAGCCACCCTAACACCGTGTGCCACCCCAGTGGGTGCCTCGCTGCCCCGACACCAGCCCTGTTGTGGGGATGGCAGCCTCACTCCTGCTGCCACGTCTCCGTGCGGTGATGCCACCACTGCCTCCCTCCAAAGGTGCCTTTTCCTGCTGCCCACAGGCTGGGGGCCCACAGGAGGCCACAACGGGGTGATGGGGTGCAGGGGAGCCTGGGGAACCCATTGCTGCAGCAGGTACTGCCTGCACCTTGAGGTGGGGGCAGCAGCTGCTCCGTGGGAGAGCTTCACGTACCTCTGAGCAGCCAGGGGCTGCAGGCGGACGCTGCTACGTCGTGTTGGGGCGTTATGGTAGGGTTTGAGTTTGTTTGGGAAGTGTGAATGTCTGGGGATGAGTTTGTGTACTGAAGGTATAAGGAAGAAACCCAGCCCTGGGGGAACATCCAAGGATGCCAGGGTGCTGCCACGCATCCCCCAGCAGCACGGGGGCTGGGGCGGGTTTTGGGAGGTAATCTTCATGTGGGTGCATGCGAGAGGGGTTTGGGAAGGTGCTAGAGGGTTGACATGGGGATGTCAGGAGATGGAGAATCGGAGCAGCTCTGCCCCAGTCCCGGTGCAGCAGGAGGGGGTGGTGGGACCCCAGGACCCCCGGCTGTGCAGCACCGCGGGGCCCAGGGATGGCCAGGAGCCACCAAGCAGGAGCTGATGGCAGAGGAGCTGCGGTCGGGCTGTGCGTTAGCGTGGTAGAGGCAGAGACCACTCCTTAGGAGCTAACCCACACTACGGTTTGGTAACTGACTTTTAAAGAAAATAAATGTCTCGGATTTGCAGAGCCAGTGCCGTGGTCCCTGTCCTGCTTGCGGGAAGCGTCTCGCCAGCCCAGCCCTGACAGTGCCCTGGGGTGCAGGATGAGGCTGTGGAGGAGTTCTCCCAGTGCAGTGAGATCCCAGCTGGATGCCAGGGCAGCCCCAGGCCTCCAGCCTGCTCCCCTGCCACGTGGGGAGCAGGTTCCTCAGGGACAGGGCCCATTTCCAGAGCAATCCCCACAAGCACACAGCACTTGCACCCGATGCCACCCACTGCAGCCCCCACACACCCTTTGGGGCTCCCGACCAGGACGGGGCAGCCCCAGCTCCCCCTGCCCTTCCACACTCTGCTTTCTGCTCCCAAACTAAATCCCGGCCGCAAACCAAGCCCAGCCCAGGTGCACAGGGAGAGAGAGCCCCAAGGGAGGCAAAGCCCGGCCCTGTGGGGTGTGACCCAGGTGGGGACGGGGACCCCACAGCACTGTGCCCCCAGAGGGGCTGCAGCCAGCAGCAGAACGGGCTCAGGGCGAAGGCATCCTCGGGGCTCGGCCGAGGGGCGGGATGGAAACGCAGCCTCCGCAGAGACATCTGCCTGGCGGGGCCGCGTGGGGAGGGGGCACGTCCAACCCCACGTTTTATTATGCTTCCTTCATGGGAAGAAACTTTTTCCTTTGCTGTCTGGTAAGCTGCTAGCAATCATCAGGCAGGCAGGTGGTAAAGATTCATATCCATCAAACAATGCCATTTAGTTTGTAACCTGTGACTAAATCTGGTGTTAGCTTTAATTTCAGAGTCTGCTTTAGGGCTCGCTTGTTAATCTCTATGCAAAGCAGATGAAATGAATATGCAGCATTTTGGATGTAATTGTACGGCTTCAATTCAGCACTATAATTTTCCAAACAGGATCTTGCAATCAAGCTTCTATTCATTAGTGTATAAACAATTTAGTTTCTCAGCTCTCCAGTATGCCAATCATTTCAATGGAGTGAGCATCTCTGACAAAAAGAGGAGGAAAGTTTCCTTTGTGTAACAGAGGTAAAAGTTGCTCCATACTTCAGGCAATTCCCACCCGGCAGACCCAGGCCATTTCTGCCAAGGCGGCCGCATCCCAGTGCCCCACGGCACCGGCACCAAACGCTGCCTGGGGGCAACATCTCCCAGCCAGCACAACCCTGAGCACCGCTGGTTCTGCCGGCGAGACCCCAGAAGGTGAGCAGGGACCCTGTAGGATCCCTCCTCCCAAGAAGGTGAGGCTGCACAGCACCTCCTGCATCCCTGGGCTGCTGCTGGGCATCGTGGTGCTCTCCCCGTGGCTCTGCTCAGGGCTCTGCTCCCCCACCGACGTGCCCAGGACGTGGCCGTGTCCCTGTCCCTCGAAGGAGAGGTGGGACCAGCCCCGAGGCTCCACAAAGGGAAGCACCGTCGGCAGAGACGCTTCGCGCGGTCTCGGTTTCCAAATGAATATCGACAGCGCTAATTACAGGCCGCCATGCAGACAGCTTATTAGCTTGTCACAAAAAGACGGTATTGAACTCAAAGCCCGCGGTATTCACGGAGCGCAGCAAGACGCTCCCCAGACAGCACAGCGAACCAGGCAGGCGAACAACCTCCAGCAAAACTAATTACTTCCTGATTGTCTACGGCCACCCACTGGGTATAATAGTATAGACTAAATTTGGCATATACATAACTAAGCACTCGGCACCAATTTGGCGTACAATAATCATCCTCTGTGTTGCATAATTAAAATCTGATCACTCGGAATAATTATTTCATATTCCCGGCACTGGGTGAGGACTGCACGGTGCGGCGCGGCGGGGGCGCGGGAGCCTGGCGGGCAGGGATGGGACGGTGGCGACATGGCCCTACAGACACTGCCCACTCCCATGGCACGGGTGCCACAGAGCCACCTTCATGCTGCCCCTGTCTGGATCCTGCTCGGGACAGGTCTGTCCCCGTGTCCCCACAGCCGTGCATTGCGCTGACCTCCTGCAAGCCGGCTGCTGACCCCCCCGCCTGCCCGGCCGGGACACTCGCCGCCTGGCCCTATTGTCATCGCGCGTCTGCTAAAGGCGTTTGGAAAGACAGGGCAATAAAAAATAAAATAAAACGGAACGTGTGTGTCTAATCCATTAACTTCCTCTCGCGGGCTCCCCGGGGACCCGGTGAGGAGGAGAAAGAATACGTGGATATTGCACGCGCCCTGGCATTTTGTCCCCGGGCCAGCCCCGCCGCTGGCCGCTGCCACGGCTTGCGCCATCCCGGGCTCATAAATCAGCGCGGGCGACAGCGTTTCACAGCTCGCTTCCCAGCCAGGATATTGCCATTCCTGCTGATTACACGGCCAGCGCGCGGGGGAAGCTGCATCTCCCACTTCCAGGAAGGGAGGCTCCGCAAGGAAAACGCATTGATAAAAAGAAGAACGAAATCAGCTTTGTTCACGTTGCGAATCTCCTATTGTTCCTGCTGCGACCGTCGGCCGTTGCTGGAGAAAGTATTTCCTCAGCGATAAATCTCCTGGGCTCCTCAGCAGCCCTCGCCTTGGCACCAGACCCTCCTTGGGTTGTTTTGCAAGAAAAAAGCAGCTTTCACCGCTACGCCAGCCCTGCACAAGAGCCCTCGGCCGCAGGACCAACCCAGCACCAATTTCTCAGCCGATTTTGGTAATTTTGCTCGTTGGTCAAGAGCAGGCAAAGTGGCATCGTGCCCCTGGGAGGGGTGTCGGGCAAATCAAGGTGTGAGCTCAGCCCCAAGCCCCTCATTTTGGGGGGATGAGGGCCATTCCCAGTGCAGGGGGTCCAGGGCCATCCCAGGGGTCTCCTGCCCGTGTCTGCAGACAGCACTGCATCAGGGACCACTGGTCCCCAGTACCTCCCTGGCCCCTGCCCTCGGAGCACGCTATGGCCGGCACCGCACACGTGCTCCTGGGCAGCACGTAGCAGCCAGCGCGGGCCGGGGAACGCGAGTCTGACCGGGGCCACGCTAATCCCAGCGCCGAAACGCAGAGCTGGCTCCGGCCAAGTGCTTGAAATACGGGAGTCAGGCTGACAGTTGTACAAGAAAAATAGATCAAGTTTCCAAGAAAATACAGGCGAGCTGATCTGATTTTCATCAGCATCTTCAGCTGCCTTTCGGGAAGCCCCAGCCCTCTCCTCATTCCTGGTCTCCTGCTTTACAAACCACTTAATTCCTTGTTGCTTTGGAAACCCTCACAAAGACCCTCTGCATCCCCCAAAATAACGAGCAACAGATGCTGCTTTGACCTCAGCAACTTCCTGGAAACATACATTTGTCAAAATAAAAATAAAAAGATTAATGTGAGGAAGGCTCTTAAATTATAAGGAAATAGCAGACACGAGAGCCCAGGCGTGCACGCCTGCCATTTGTAACGGCCGCGGAGCACTCGGACAGGCGGAGGAGCCCGGGGCCGGCCACGGGGGGCCGGGGAGATCCCCAAATCCTTCGGGGTCCCCACACCCCTGCTGCCCCCCAAAGCCAGGAGCAGCCACAGGCACTGGGGCTGTCGGTGCGGGGGCACCCACAGGCTCTGTCAGCACCACAGGTCCCAACCGAGAGATAACTCACTGCCTTGCTTCAGCTTGGGTTAGCAAAGCAGTTTGAGGGTAAATATTGAAATTTACACTTCCAGCATGAAACAAAAGCATGGAGTTGTTTATGTTGGAAAAGCCCCTTCAGATCATCCAGTCTGACCACCAACCTAGCACTGCCAAGTCCGCCTCTAAACCATGTCCCTCAGTGCCACAGCCACACAGCCCTTAAATGCCTGCACCACCTCCCTGGGCAGCCCGTTCCAGTGCTTGACCACCATTTCCGTGAGGAAATTCTTGCTGATGTCCAACCCAAACCTCCCCTGGTACAACCTGAGGCCATTTCCTCACATCCTGACACTTATCACCCAAGGACAAGACCAGCACCCTCCTCGTGCAGCCTCCTTTCAGGCAGGTGCAGAGAGCACGGACACCTCCCCTCAGCCTCCCCTGCTCCAGCTCCCTCAGCCGCTCCTCGTCTCATTTCCCAGATCCTTCACCAGCTCCACTGCTCCTCTCTGACCACATCCAGCAGCTCGCTGAGGGGCCCAAAACCAAGCACAGCACCCTAGGTGGGGCCTCACCAGCACAGAGTACAGAGGAACAAGCAGCATGTTCCCAAGCAGCCCCTTCCCACACAAGGTTTAGGGTCAGTTCCAACCCCACACTCCCCAGTGTGCCATTTCTCAGCTTATCTAGGGTTTCTGCTTTCTTTTACAGAGTTTTTAAAGCACTTTGCTCGTGCTGCAGTGGCAGCAAGATGTGCAAGCAGCTGTCAGCCAGAACCTTTTCGGGTCAGGGTGCTGAAGGCCAGAGGGTTTCACCTCCTCCCTCTGGCTGCAGCCACCCAGCAGGTCCTAGGGCTGGCACAGGGGCAGGAGCACTGCTGAGGGCACGAATTCCCTGGGGGCTCCTTGCTGTCAGGGCTCGTGACAGCCTGAGGATAAGTGACACGATGTGAGGTGACACAACATGGCGCCCACAGCATTTACCAGGCCTAGGGGCAGGCAGGGGCAGCTCTGCAGGCTCCATACAGGTGGAACCTCTTTCCCCTCCCAGCTTTATAGGATCAGGCAGCAATGAGCTGTGGTGAAGGGCTGCTGCTGGGCCTGGTGTGAGGTGGGGCTGGGTGGCTCTGGGGGTTTGGTGCACCTGTGTGCAGGCCCCATCCCCATCCCGCTCCCAGCTTTGTGCTGCTGTGTGGCCCTGTAGGACCGAGGCACATCGCTCCCTCGGGGTGATTCCTGCCGGGCAGGGGTGCCCAGGTCTTGCTGGGGGTGCTGGGGACACGGCGGTGCCATGGGGTGGGCGCAGCCTGGCGGCTCTGCACCAGCACCACGGGGTGCCGGGGTGCCGCTGTGCCGCGAATGCAAATCCTGACCCGGGCTGGGCCGGGGGCTCTGCCTTCCCCAGCACCCGCCTAATGCCTCTGGTAGCCATGGCAACCGCCATATACATTTACATATTCTTCCCGTTAATCAC